GACAGGGGCTAAGATACAGGCACAGTGTATGGTCTCACTAAATTTGGGGGGACAATGAGTTAGGAGAAGATTTCAGTGTAAACATAATTGATCTTTTGTGCATAACATTTCAACTCCAGTGGAAGGAATGTTCACTTTCCAGTAGCTTCATGAACAAGATGTGTGAAGGGGACTTGGTCCATTTCCTTAGTGATATTACAAGCCATTGTCCAGTCTCTGGTTCATATAAGCTAGGCTTCGCAGAGGCTCCTGTGTGGAAGACACAGGATGCAGAAGAGGGTAGTCCTGCTGGACTTTGGGACCTAATTCAGCAAGACCAGCACTGCTTCTCTCATGCTGCCTAAACAAATGTTTGAAAGCTTATGGATAGCCCCTCCTCCATGATTAATTTTAATAAATGAATCAGAGCTATCAAGGGACTATGCAGATACCTTCTTAGGGTACTTTTTTTTTGACAAATGTGTGAATGCTCTTTCAGGCTTGGCATAAATGAAGAATAACTTTGACTCAGAAATGAATATAATCCCCTTAAAAGACAAAGACAGGACGGTCTGCTGTTTCCACAGAGGCATCCTAGTGTAGTTCCAGAAGCACTCAGAGATGGCACACCAATCTAAATCCTCACCAGCTTCTTGACCCTCTGGTGATAGACTAGGAGTATTGGACAGTGTATAATAGGAATACCTGCTTTCATTTGAATCTGGTTTCTGCTACATTTTTGCATCATGTCATCTTTGTCAACAAAATGGTTCTGATCATCATATCTGTGCCCAGGATAGATGTAGGCGTTAAATTAAGCAGGACCAACTACCTAAGGTATGATTGTCCAGTATGCAGAAAACACTCAATGGCAATGTGGCAGGTTGGAGGACTCTGAAAATCAGGTGCAGCTAAACTTGAAGTGCAAAGAGTTGACTCCTGTTATTTGAGGCTTTTCTGCTTCTGCTTCCAGAATTGTCTGGTCCTCCCAAATTTGCTAAACATCTTCATTGCAATTCAGGTTTTCCAGGAGACTGACTCTGAGATGAAGCTAGGATGTAAACGGTTTGCTCAAGTTAACTCTGGTGAGAGAAATAGAGGGTGGTAGTTCATAGGTGTGGGGAGTCGGCCGTCTCATCAGGATTCCACTTGAACAAAGGCTGGACCAGCCCTTGGGGAGTTCAGAGCAAAGGTGCTCATTTGAGGAGTCCTTTGTTGGACAGACAGAGCCATGCCCAGTTACTGGCCAGTGGCTGTCCTAAGAAGAGTGTGACCTTGGCCAAAAGCTGAAGTGGACTCTAGAAGAGTAAACAGCTGGAGGCTGTCAAATAGTGACACTCTGCAGCTTGAACTATAAAGCCCTTTCTAAAAGGGACCTAAGCTGGGAAAGTCTGTCTGATGGTTCAAATTGGAACCCTAGTTTGAAAAATACATCTTGTAGATAATGATTCTTTATTTTGTTTTGTTTGTTTTTGGGACAGGCTCTTACTACATACTCCAGACTGGCCTTGAACTCACATTCTTCCTGCCTCAGCCTCCTGAGTGCTGGGGTTACAGGCATGTAGTACCATGCCCAGTTAGATTTTGATTATTCTTTTTTGGGGGGCAATACTGGGGTCTGAGCTTAGGGCCTTGTGCTTGCTAGGCAGTTGGTCTACCACTTGACTCACACCCCATCCCTTTTCTTTGCTTTAGTTATTTTTTTTAATAGGGTCTCACATTTATGCCTACACAGTCTGAACCATAATTCTCCTATTTTTGCTTCCCACATAGCTAGGGTGACAGATGTGCACCACAGCTTTTTATTGGTTGAAATGGGGTCTTGTGAACTCTCTGCCTGGGGTGGCCTTGAACTGCAGCCCTCTAGATTTCTACGTCAGAGTAGCTGGGATTATAGCCACTGTGGCCTGGCTATGATTTTCATTATTCTTAAAGGTGGCATATCTTTGAAATATACATTATGAAAGAGGAGACTTGGTTTTAACTTCTGAAAGTCCGAATCAGCCTTGTAGTGATCACAATGTATGTGAAAGATCATTCCATCACTCACAGTTTTCATGTTTACACTCAAGCGCCAATCTCTCTCTGTGGATTTTAGCTGGTTTAGATACATACATTGCTGATATACCTAGCCAAGATAACTACCATCTTCCTAAACCATCCCCTAAGGCATGCAACTAGCTTCCATTCTTGTTAGATCAATCCTTACCCACCACAGTCCCCAATTGATTTGTAGGGTTGGAAGCTTAGGGAACACTAACCTCTCTTAGCTAGAATCCTGCCTCAGCCAATCCACTACAAAACACCACTGACTTGCTTATTCTGTGAATGACACCTCAAAGTGTATTACCTTCATGGATCTCGATGTTTGTTTGTTAAAAGTATCACCTTTTAATTTTCTTTCCTTTAATCCCATTGTGTTCTCCTAAAGGCACAGAATCGACTATCTTCTGCTAGAAATAACATAAACAAATTTGTCAGAATAAGTATGCAAATAACTTATTAGAAGGTATTGGAGAAGAAATTATTGTTTCCAGAGGAAACGCCTAAAATTTAATAAGATGTAATACTATAAAAAGATACAAAAGATGACTTGAATAATGGAAAGACATACCTTACCTTCTGGACGGGAATAATCAACGTTAACAAGATATCAGTTCTTCCTCAGATAGTTTATAAATTTAATGCAATTCAAATGTCAACAGTTTTTTTTCCTTAAGATTCCAAAATCAGTTTTTTTTAATTAGGATATATTCATTTCATGTGGGGGGATTCATAGTGACAGTTCTATTAGGCTTATATTGTACATTGGTTAGATCACCTCTCTCTCCCCCTCAATCCCGTCCCTGTTCCTAAAGTCACTTTTTAAAAGGCTCTGATAAAGCAATGAGATTTCCTATGATTGCCAGTTATTAAAATATTTCAAGATGCTGTTGGGTGCTGGTAGATTGGGATGATTGGGGTTCAAGGCAGACAGGGCAAAATGTGTGAGACCCTATCTCAACCAATAGCTAGTTGTGGTGATGTATACATGTCATCCCAAGTTATATGGGAGGCTGAGATTGGGAGGATCATAGTTCCAGGCCAACCTGGGCAAAAAAAAAATAAAAAACAAGATCCCAATGGAAAAAAGCTGGGCATGGTTGGCAGATGCCTGGTGGGAAGTATGAAATGAGGAGGGTAATATTCCAGGGCAGCCTTAGTAAAAAAAAAAAAGGAGACCTTATGTCTAAAATAACAAGAACAAAAAGTACTGGAGTTGTGACTCCAGTGGTAGAGTGTGTGCTCAGCAACTGTAGAGAGCTGAGTTCAAAACCCCAGTACCCCCAATACAAAAAAAAAATTTCCATAGAGCCTAAGTAAACTATCAAGGTTTCAGCGTGGAAGTGACAGCACAATAGAACACACAAGAAAATCCAAATACCAATACAGGTACCAAATGAAGAATTTAGTACTCGATAAAGATAGCATTTCATATCAGCGTGGTAAAGATGAACTCTCCCTTTACTGGCACTGGGGTATGGGTAACCTTTGCCCTTGAAAAGAAACAAAGTTGGTTACATTTTACCATACTCCAGATTAAACTCTGAATGGACTCAAGGTAAAAGTGTAAACAAAACTATAAAAGAACACACCAGTAATCTCTTTTGTATAACCTTGGAGAATTCGCCTCCCATGTTTGAAAAAAAAAATCTAAAATGTTTGATAAACACACTCTTTTGGCAAACCAGTGGTAATTGTCCCCACAATGGCTGGGAGGACTGCAAAATGGTACATCTGTGGAAAGGAATCTGGCATACTCTGTGAAGTTGCCAATACGTACACACTTTGGCTCGGCAATTTTTGGAGGGCATTTACCCCCAGAGATAGACTAGCACACGTGTAGAATGACAATTGTGCAAGATCATTCATCATAGTGTTGTTTGAAGTGACAAAAGATGAGAAATAACTCATAGTTCCATCAGTGTGGGAATATATAAACTTAAACTTGTTTTCTCACTAGAATTACCAGGGAATTTTAATTTTTAATTTTAGAGATCAAGTCACATTGAAGACCAGTTTAATCAGTCTCTGGAAAATGGGACACAGATTCCCTCCCCTCCTCTCCTTTCCCCTCTCCTCCCCTTCCTTGTCAGTACCAGTGTTTGAACTAAGGGCTTTACACATGTGAAGCAAGATAGGGTCTCACTTTTTGCCCAGGCTGGTCTGGACCTAATCCTCTTATTTTACCTCCCTCTGCCCACTGAGATAACAGGCATATACCACTACACCCAGCTTTTTTTTTCTGATGAGATGGGATCTTGCAAACTTTGTTGTCCCAGTTGTCCTCAAACCATGATCCTCCTGATCTCATCCTCCCAGATAGCTAGGATTATAGGTGTGAGCCACCAGCCAGGCTGAGATTTAATTTTTTAAAGCTCCTCTGAGGTTCTAATACATAGGCAAGGTGGAGAACCACTCAGTTAGGGTTTATCTATACGTGGACTATTATTCAGCTGTTAAAACAGAACAAAGACTTTTTTTTTTCACCTGTGAATATAGATAGGGTATATTAAGTTAAAAAAAAAACGTGCTGAAAGCCGAATGGACAGAGAATATTCTGTGCTATATATTGTCTGTTTATATATGTATTTTTTAAATATTGTTTTGGTTTTGAACCATGTAACATTATTACCTGTATCCCCCAAAAAGCCATTAACAAGTAAGTATCTAGTTTCTCTCATGGAAAGTCCTACTTTTGTCAATAACTACTTATCCTTTCCCACCATTAAGGTTTGTCCATTGGGAGTGTAGAAGGCATGGCAACACACGGCATGCTGCACTGGGGTGCAAGCAGGTACTTCAGATTTCTCAGAACACCTAGACCTGCCAGTAGGGGAGAAGACAGATGGACTATAAGCAGGTACATCAGAAAGGATGATGTTGTGACTAAGTATTAAACAGGTGTGCGTGGTAGTGGTAAGCAAATGGGTATGCGGGTAGGGATGTCATTTGAGCTGAGAGGTAAAGGGTGAGAAAGAACCAGCCTCACGCATAGACATAGAGGAGGCCTTCAGACTGGAGAGAAGGAAGGACCCTGTGGCAGCCCAGCTGGAAACGGCTGCCTCTGCCCTCTGGAGATCTGAATGCATTGGTTCTGCAGGCGCTTGGGTGGTACCACATTATAAATTTGTCTTTCAGCTCTTGGCTTTTTCATCAAACCATGCTAGCTGTGTTTCTGTAGCTGTGTTCTGGCAAGGGAAGATTAGCTGCAAGGAGACCTCTTTCAGGTGTTCTGGGTGCACAGCATAGTAAAGTGAAACTGGTCGAAGGTGTGCCTAGAGAAGTGATTTTTAGGCAGAGAAGAAACTTGCCAAATAGAGAAGGCACAAAAAGGCAGAGGAACCAGCATACTTCAGAATAAGTGCATGTGTGTAGGGAGCCACTGAGGGATGGGCAGTGGCAGAGGCACTTGGAGCAGAGAGGGGACGGTGGATAATAGCGTGGATAGCAAGGAACCACGTAGGAGGACCTGACTTGTGGGGAGAGGGGTTGGACAAGATGAGAACTGAGTGCTATAAATGTTTCACACGTCCGGAGTGAATGCTTATTGTAAAGCTGCTGTCTTCAGTAGAAGCAGAAATCAGAATGTAATACCACTGGCGCCCTCAGAAAGTCTAGTTGAGGTAGACCTGCAAGCAGAGTCTGAACACAGTGTTAAAAGCCCTGTCAGTGACACAGTGCTGCAGAAAAGGATTTCACAGCCTTCTGCAGGAAGCAGGTTGGCTAGGGTAGGGAAAGCCATGGAGAACAGTGGCCTCTCCTGGGCAGGCCTGGGTAAGGTCTTAGAAAGCAGAGGAAAACAATTTGAGCAAATGGGTGTGTGTGGCCTAAGCAGGGACCAGAGACAAGAACATAGTGGCTGAAGGGAGGGTGCTTGCAGAAAAGGGGGCTGGGGCCAGGTTGGTAGGGCCAGCTCCATTCCGCAGGCTGTGGAGTCTTTTTCCAACATTGGTGAGTTCCTCTAGGAGAATTTGGGACAGGCTCAACCAGAGACCTCAGAAGCTGGGGGCAGAGGACCCTTAGGTGGCCAGTTTGCACTAAATTACTTTTCTGCCTACCCTTTATGTTTTAAGCTTGGCAAGTGACAACGTGGCTTATGATCAGAGTGTAGAATCAAGGAGCAAATAAATGAAGTAAAGAACCCTGTTGGGTTCCGCCTTCCCAGTTCCCTTCTCCTGCCTTTTTCCTGTTCTCCATCAGCATGGGGAGGGGCTCTTCAGATTCTCATGAAGAGCTCTCCAGAATCTTTCTCAGGATGGTGGTGTGTGGAGATCTTTAGGGGGTAGAGGATAGTGACATATGTAGCACCTAACTTTAGGCAGCAGCACCTCCATCCTGGGAGCTGTGAGGTTTCCTCAGGTTGGGGTTCTTCTGTAGAAGGGAGCCCACAATGAGAAATGGGTGGTGGTGATTCAAGTCAGCCAGCCAGAGAATCACTATGGAATCTGGTACCCTGGGTGAGGTACACCTTCTATGGAGAAGACAAGTTAGCCGCTTATTTTGTGTCAAGTGACCTCAATACCATCATCATCAGTTTCTTTTTATATAAGCTCCGGATCTCAGGCACCTCCCAGTAGGATCACAGCTCCAGAAACTTGCGATGAAAAGGTCTCACGCTGCATCTGATGCATCTGTGTGCCATTAATGGCGTATTGTGTGAGTAGGGCAACAATTTTTAGTAAGGGATCGAAAACAAGTTGGAGAAGATAGAACTAAAAACTGATTTAAGAGGAGCAGCAGGGAAAGAGAACGGACTAAAATCACCTATCATTCCCTTTGGAGAGTTTTTAAATCCTAAATGAAGAAAAGTCGAAGGATGGAAACAAAACCTTTTCGGCTTTCCACCGAATAAAAAGGATGGGAAGCTGCAAGTCAGCAGTTCTGGTGCAGGAGCTCCAGAGGATGCCCACTCTCATGCTCACGTTTTTGGGATGCCCCTTTCCTGCTCTCCCAGCCGCAGAGGTGGCCGAGGCTCCTTTTGTCTGCTATGCTCCCCACCCCACCCTGCGCCAGCAAGAGGGAGCTGGCATGGTGTGCCCTCCCCGCTGCCCCTGGCCCAAGGTTGTTTACTACTTTCTACTCTGAATCACACGCCAATCACCAAGGCCCGCCCTCACTGCCAACCAATCAGCTCGTTGGGAAATTCCACCTTTCCGTGGGGCCCAGGCAGTGATTGGCTGAAGTGCTTGTCAGTAAGCGGGCATCCCGCAAGGATGCAGCAGGAGTATTGGGGACGCGATCACCAGAGCGGAGGAGGAGTAACCTTCTCTATAAACAAGATGCACCCCCCTTCCAAGAAAGTTGGGGGTGGGGGGAGCCGAAACACAACCCGGCCCTGGGGCCCCACCGGAGTGGGGCGGGCTGCGCGCAGAGTCGGGGAATCCCTCCCTCCGCCTCCCGCCCGCTGCTGCAGTTGTAAACACGTTTCCTTCCATGTCTGTTTTCCCTTCTCTCACTGTGGCCATTACAGGCTGCTGTTTACAGAAATCCTGCAGGGCAGTGGCGTCCTCCAACCCTCTGGTCTCCATACCCCCTTTTCAGGTTTGCTGCTTTTCCTCCTCCTGGTAAAGAGTAAAGGAGGCTGAGTTAGCAGCCTTGCTTTCCTTTATTGCTATCCATGCGGGACGAGTCAGGCTTTATCAACACGCACCATTTTCTGCGGATATCGTCCTTCCCCTCTGCATTGCGTGGAAGGGCTGCATTGATTTCGATTAGGAGCACTGCAGCCGAACCAGGCGCAGTTCTGGAAGGACTGGGTGGGTTTTTGTTGTTGCTGGTGTGGGTCACATTGCATGCTATTTTAATTCTGCATTTTCTTGTAAGATTGGTCTTGAATCCTTTCCCCACTTAGAGGTTTGAGATGCGCTTGGCTGCCCCACCCCACCCCCCCTTGAAAGGCAGTATTGTGTTGAACTAAATGTTTTTCTACCTTCTTCTGTGATCTGAATCAGGTTTCCCGTTTCCAGCAGCACAAAGTGGTTGTATTCTGTGTGATAGGGCGTAGTGGACATGAATTATTTGCGACGGAGCTGCCTGGAAGATGTGGAGCGGAGTTTGCGTAGCCCGGAGCAGGTCCAATGCTTGAGGTTTCTCTGTTATACAGGCTCCAAGCAGGAAGCACAGGCAAGATGGCAAAATAAAGCATGTGGCATCCAGTTTAAAAAAAAAAAAAAAGCCCTCTTTTAGAAGCTGCCATTCCAGATGACATCCAGTCTAATTTAGTTTAGTTTTTTTTTTTTTAAAGAATGGGAAAATGATCTATGAAGATCACTTGCTCGGGATATTTTACAAGCAGCTTTGTCAACATAAAAAGAATGGTTTTTGAGGTTCTGGTTTGCTGGGTGTGGGATAGGCTTCCTCCCTCCTGTGAGTCTGAATCAGATTTGGGTTTGTAGGAATTACCATAGAGCTGTAAGTGATAAGGAAGGAGTGAAGCCCCTTGCCTCTCTTATAGCCTTCTGCAGCTTCTGAACATTTTTAGCCATGGGACGCTTGGGGAGCAAGGGAAATGCAGGAGGGAAAAGATACGTTACAGGTGTAATGACTTAAGATGTGCTGGCCAAGATTTCTAAGAGCAACTTCCACATCCTACTGACACCCCAGGAAACCTGATTTCAAGTTATGTACATCATCAGATTCAGATCCCACTCGCTCCTTTTCTTTTCCAGTTATCCTTTTGTGTACTGTACCCCACAGTGAATCTCTTTCCCAAATGATGAAGCTAATGCATAACATGTTGCTATGTGTAGAGTATATCCAACTTCTGCTTCATGATTTGAGAGGTATCATCTGGTGACAGCAGGTTACGGAGAGGGCCAGAGCTGGGCAGAGTTCTGCCTCAGGGCGGTGAAATTCCTGGTATCATTAGAGCACCTCATGGAGTTACAAACTGGGTAAGTGATTGAAGGCAGAAAGGCGCCGTAATGAGATGTGTCATAATGATGTGTGCTTCAGCTCCTGTCCCTTATTAGCTGTGTCATCTGGGCCAACTGATTTCACCTCTGTTAGCCCTGCCTGAGATGCTTTCTGTGGGTTTGGGAGGGCTCAATGACTTACGTTGAAGAGTGTGACCTGCTGGGCTCACAGAGGTGCCCAAGGCCAGGGACTCTCCCTCCTCTGTCTGGTAAATCATCTCCCCTTTCGTTCTTCTGTGGCCTTTCACATGAACCTCCTACTTATTCAGAGCAGTGTGCTGGATTCATTTTTGCTAGGTTTCTGTGTCACCTGCTCTTTTCTGGCCAGGTCAGCCTGTTCATTTTTCCATGCCAGCAGCCTCTGCGTGCCAGGAAGTCACGTCTGAATAACCGAAGTATATTTCCCTGCTGGAGAATGCCAGGGCAAGCAGGTCTGGGAGCCAGGTGGATTTCTCCTGTTCAAATAAGTGGGGAAATCTGAAGAGTCCTGGCTGCTCTGCTCTGCAGTGACTTAAGACAAGTCTTGACTCACAACCAAAATCTCAACAGTGTTCAGGTCCCCCTCTTCCAAACAAGGCAGAGGAAGTGCCCTGGCCTGGCTTTGAGTTTTTCTTGACCTGACTTTAGTCTGCCATTGCCTTCCTACCCCCACCCCACCACAACACAAGTTACATGCAGACAGTGAGCTAGCTGCCTGCCACTACACTGCCCAATGTTCCTGGGATGAGGTTGGACCAGCTGAGAACCTTACCCTTCCTTTTCAGTTTAGAACAGCATCTAGTATGGCAGACTGGCCCATCTTCTTCAACCAACTTCAGGCAGCCCCTCTACAGTCCACTGTACTAGCCCCTTGTACCTTCCTGTGCACTGCACCCCTTTTTAAAAATCAATCTTGCCTTCACTGCTTGTGGGACTCTTAGTACTGTTTTGAGATGTGTCTTTCTGTGGTTCTGTGGTTGACTTCCTCTCATGGAAAAGTCTATGTGTCCTCAGATCAGATTGAAAGCAGTCTTATTTAATGGTACTATGGGCTGGGCAGACAGGTGACCTGCTGTGACTGTCTCCACTCCCTCACTCATAGTGTGCAGTACTGGTGCCTGGAACAACAGATTGATCCTGGAGTCCTTCTTTCTTCATCTGGAGCATGGGTTAATACCTCTTTCTTGGGGAGTTGTAAGGATTAACTGTGCCGGGCTTCAAGTTTATACCTAGCAAGTCACTCAGGAAGGGAGAGTTATTGTAAGTGTTGTTTTCTTATCATCCATAGATGGAGATGTTACCAGATGTTTAAGACTGCAAGAGAATAACTGAGAATTATGTAAAATTACTTACCAGGTACTTGATTAATGTTTGTTTATCTTCCCCATAAGGACAAATGCCCTGTGTAATATCTCTATCTCTGTACTGCCCACTCACCAAGCCCTTTATGAATATTGATTCAACAAAAAAAATTTATCTCTTCATATGTGTAAATTTAGGGCCTGTTGCTTCATTAATAGTGATTTTTGTGAAAAGAAATGCTCATAGTTCAGACTACTAGAGACCCTGATTGAGGGAATTAGGCCAAACAGGAAAGTCTTGTGCCCCCTGAAGGTAGAGTTGTCTGACAAATAACCTGGGCCTTGCTAAATAACTACTAGGTATATTTTTAAATAGTGGGGTTATTGGGTTGAAGTTCTGACTAGTGTGGAAACCTGTCCTCTCCTCTCAGGTCTGTAGAGCTGGTTATTTTGCAGATGCACCAGGACTGGAAAGGCTGTGACATGTGGCCAAAGCTTGAAGCTGCTCTATAGTGGGCAGTCTCAGTGATTCCTGCTGCCAGTGCTTAGAAGGATGAGACCTGTGCTGCCTGCTTCTCCAACCCTAGAGGGGGCATTCCAAGCTGTGTAGCCTAAGCCAATAGGTGAGATGCCTAGAGGGCAGATGCTCTGTTAAGCTCTATGAGTACAAAGGTGAAGAACCATGCCTGTCCTTGAAGGAGAACCATTGTAGCCTTCCTGACTCAAGCAGGCATTGTACAACCAGGCGATATTCCTGATGTGGCCCATAGCCTTCACTAGAGAAACTTTCCCAAACCATACATCTATAAGCTCTATGGCTTTGGCAAGTCACTTAATGTCCCTTAACTTTTTTTCCTTCCTTCTTGGAGCAGAGAGACTATCTGGGTAAGGGGCAGATGAAATAGCCTATGGGACTGTCTTCTAACTGTGCAGTGGTTAACTCTTACAGTTTCATAGATGCTATGCTTTTGGGATGGAGCATTGCTGAGTATGGAAGACCTGAATGATAGCATGCATGTTTGTATGAACTGGCCTGCTAAGTCATTTTGAGTTTGTATTTGAAAGTAATGGGTGGGTTGTTACCCATATATAAAGAATTAGATCCAGGCTCTAAAAGGTTGTTTGCTGTTCTTTAGCAAAATACCATTCTTCTGAAGTTTCATACAATCATTCCACAAAAATCTAAGCATCTGTTTCGTCCCAGGCATTTTGCTTATAATGGGTATGCAGCAGCAGACAGAACACTTGCTTTCTTCTTCTTCCTTCTTCCTTCCTCTTGGCGGTACTGGGATTTGAACTAGGGCTCACACTTGCTCTACCACTTGAGCCATTCCGCCAGCCCAGCACTTGCTTTCTGTTCTCATAGAACTGATTATTGGACAGAGAATATTGCAGGAATAGACAAGTGTGAGGATGGGCATAGAGAGGTGAAGCATTCGTATAAACTGCTATTTGTTGTAATATTTACATGTTAATCTGGGAAGGTCTTTCCATGTAAAAGTAGTGATTTAGTCTCTTGTCTATAAATAACTCCTTTCTTTGTAGACAGTGAGTTAGGGCAAGAAGTTATATCATCAGGGAAGAGTGGTGTTTTACAATAGAAAGTACAAATGAAGAGGATGCTAAGGAAAGAGTATATTTTATATATGGAATACACATCTCAGTTTGTACATGAAGTTGCTTAGGGAAAGTAGTTGTAAACGTGAGTGCTTTAAAGGAGCTACCAAAATCCAGGATAAACCAATTAGTGAACATCTTTAAATATAAACACTCAAAGCCTACAGCTCTGTTGTTCCAGCTAGACCTGCAATGCTGCATTAGAACTTTGTGTGATGAAACATTCTGTATCTGCTGTGTTCGGTATGGTAGCCATTAGTTCACAAGTTGCTATGGAGTTCTTGTGAGTGTAGCTAGTGCTACTGAGGAACTGAATTTCAGGTTTTATTTAATTTTAACTAATTTCAATGTTAATTGCAACATGTGATTGTAGCTACTAGGCAGCACAGGTCCGGACATAAGGTTAACAAAGTACTTTCCTCCTATGTGTTTCTTTGGTTAAGCGTAACAATGACATTTTTCCTGTTGTATTTAGGGCTGTCAGAAAGGGTGTGCACTTTTTTAAAAAATGGAACACAACCACTTAGACCAGTTGCCTAATTTGCACACATTTTTGGGAGCTGTTGATGTTGCCTATTGGTAAATACTAAGTACTTATAATGACCTAAAAACTGCAAGACAAACAAGTTTCTGTAACTGAGTACCAAGGGGTTAAAGAACTGAGGGAAATGGTGGCGACTCTGATTCATAGATATTCAAAAGCTTTTGTGACTGTGAAAATAAGCTAGAC